GGCTGATTTGAGCGCTGGGAACTGAATTCAGGTCCTCTGAAAGAACAGTGTATGCTCTTAATCTCTGAGCCTTCTCTTCAGCCCCCCATACAACACAGGTACTTTTCAGGGTTGCTAATCACCTGTCTGCAGCCAGTTTTCCCAGCCTTGTCTCCTGCCTTTTCCACCCCAGGAAGCATTTTTGTCTTGGAGACAGACACAAAGAATTACTCAGCACCAACTGTCACACCCGCACGCCTTTCTTCAGGCTGCTCCTCAGCTGTGTATGCTGCACAGCCCTTACTCGTCTTTCCAGAGTCAGGTCAGGTTCCTGGGCCTCCATGAAGTCTTCCTCCTAGGCAATCCAGCCCTCCTTCTCTGTGATCTGGCTAGTAGTGCACATTATTCACTCTTCAGTGTCTAGGATAAGGAGCACTCAGGGTTAGAATGTGTCCCTTTCTAAGCTGGAAAGATAGAAAGTGCCAACAACCATGTGCTTAGCATGTGCAGAAGTAACTTCCCTCAGACAGTTTTGAATGATAAAAGGTAGGGAGAGGGTAGTGTGGGTTCTTGGTGAGTATTTAGCAGATATGTTTACTGTGTCCATGGATATTTTATCTACATGAATGTCTGTGTGCAATGGCTATGCCTGGTGCCCTAAGAAGCCAGAACATGTCAGATCCCCTGGAACTGTAATTACTGATGGTTGTGAGCCATGTGTGAGTGTTTGAGTGTTTTAATTTCAGATCATCTGAAAAGGCAGTATATGCTGTGTGTGTGTGTGTGTGTGTGTGTGTGTGTGTGTGTGTGTGTGTGTTTTGAGACAGGGTTCTCTGTGTAGCCTTGCCCTTCCTGGACTCTGTAGACCAGGCTGTTCTGGAACTCACAGAGATCCACCTGCCTCTGCCTCCAAGAGTGTGCGGTATTTGCTCTTAACCGCTGAGCTATCTAGTTGTTGTTATTCTTCTTTTTCTTCTTTTGGTTTTTCAAGACAGGGTTTTCCTCTATAGTCCTAGAACTAGCTCTGCAGAGGAGGCTGGCCTTAAACTCACAGAGATCTGCTTGCCTCTGCCTCCCAGTGCTGGGATTAAAGGTGTGTGTAACCGTTACTCAGCTCACATAGCTATCCTTAACAAGAATTACTAACTCCTGTTGCATGCCTTCTGGATGACTCTTTTTTTTTTTTTTCACATAGTCTGTAGTACAGGCTGGCCTTGACTTCATCACAACCCTTGCTTCAGCTTCTCAAATGCTGAGGTTACAAGCCTGAGTCACCACAACTGGCTACTGTGTTGACTTAAAAATGTACTAGATAAAAGGGACCTGTGTTGGCTCAGGGCACCCCAAGACAAGGTTCTCAGCACAAAGGAGATTTATTTGAGCAGAGGGACCAAGGGCAGGGAATAAGAGAGACAAAGACATGATAAAGGAAAAGGGAGAAGGGAACAACAGAGAGGGGGAAGGGCTGTTTGTTCCTGGAAACAAAGGACTGCCTGTGGATTGAGAGGAGACAGACATGGCCAATAGGCAAATGGTGGTTTATAAAGGTAAAAGGGGAAACCGTTTTAGGGTGTTAGGATGAGGTGTTTAATTTTTGTTTTGTTGTTGTTTTGTTTTGTTTTTTTTTTTTTTTTTTTGAGACAGGGTTTCTCTGTGTAACCCTGGCTGTACTGGACTCGATTTGTAGACCAGGCTGGCCTTGAACTCACAGAGATACACCTGCCTCTGCTTCCCTGAGTGCTAGGACTAAAGGCGTGCACAACACACTCAGCTCATAGTAAGTTCTTTTTTAATTTTAATTTTATTTATGTATATATATTCAGGCTAACCTCAAATTCATTATGTAACTAAGGATGACCTTGAACTTGTGATCCTCTTGCTTCCTTCTTTCAAGTGCTGGGATTACAAGCATGTACCAGCATACCCAGTTTATAATTTTTTCCCTTCTTATTCTGTTCTATTGAGTTGGTGAAGGAGATGGACAACTCTGGAGTCAGATTGTCTGGGTTTCATTTTCATGTGCCTAACAGGGAAAATAATAAAGTGTGTTTCATATGGCTATTGTGATGACTAGATGAGCTAAGGCACATTAAGCACTCTGCATTGTATTTAGCACTTAGCAATGATCCCTATCTGCCCATTCCTGTGCCAACCAAATAAAACAGGAAGCTCGCTCAGAATGTAGTTTGGAGTTGGGTAGCATAGTAGGGCCTCTTCTATCAGGCTTGGTGGGGCACACCTGTGATCCCAGCACTCAGGGAGGCAGAGGCAGGTGGATCTCTGTGAGTTAGTGGCCAGCCTGGTCTATGAAGTGAGTCTAGGACAGCCAAGGCTACACAGAGAAACCCTGTCTTGGAAAAAAAAAAAAAAAAAGTAGTGTCTCTTCTTATTTTGTGAACGTGGGCAAACTTAGCTTTTTATGTGTCTCAGTGTTTTCATTCATATATGAAGATACAAAAAATACCTACTGTGTGGAGGGAGGAATGATTGGTAAATAGGATTAGAATACATTCCATAAATTTCTCAAAAATTAATAAAAATTTTAATTAAAAACTTCCTATTAGCCAGGCATAGTGGTGCACTTGGGAGGCAGAGGCAGGTGGATCTCTATGAGTTTGAGGCCAGCCTGGTCTACCAATTAAGTCCAAGACAGCCAGGGCTAGGCAACAACAGAGAAACCCTGTCTCAAAAAACAAAAACAAACAAAAAGTAATAATAATAATAAAATAAAAATATATTAAAAACTTCCTCCTGAAGGGACTGGAGTGGTTAAGTGCCTGCAAAGGATCTGAGCTTGGTTCCTGGCACAAGTGCCCGGCAACTCTAGGGGATGCAAAACCCTACTTCAGCATGCTGTGACCATGAAACACTCTAGTGTCACACAGGCCGGTGCGCACAAAAGCCCCTCAGTGAGTAGTCATTTTTCTGGTGATGATCACTATTAAATTCTTTTTTTTTTTTGTTGTTGTTTTTAAGGGGATTTTTTTTTTTTTTTGAAGGGCTGAAGTGGGGAGGTTGAAAAAGATGCTAAGCACCAAGGCACTGATCCTTTCTCCGGTTCTGCTCTGTGCTGCCTCAGGGGTCTAGCCAGGCCTGGGTCTGCCTCCTTCCTGAGGAGATCTGGCCCGCCTTCTGCCAGCCTTGCTTTTCCTACTGTGGGCTGACATGATCGTGGGGCAGCCAATATGCAAGACAGCATTTGGGTGTGGACAAGACCATGAGGATTAGAAGCACCCTGGGCATTTCACATTCATGACATAGGAAGTGGGCTCTGCACCAGGAGCTGCTTAGAGCTCTGCACCAAGCTCTGCTTCTTGTCTTTCCTCTTCTGCAGAGGGGTGAGGGAAAGCCTTTGTGTCGGACATGCTGCATCTAAGATTTTCCTCTTTATTTCTAAATAAATATTGTTTTTCCTTGTTTCCAGTTTTCTTGATTATTTTTTGGTAATGTTTGGGGATTGAAACCAGAACTTTGTGCCTATTGGCACTGTCTCTTAGTAGACTTGATGCCATAGAACAAAGATTTAGTTATCACTAATCCTCATTTTCCTAATGTACTTTCTTATCTTACTTTTTTGTTTGTTTGTTTTATTTTTCAAGACAGGGGTTCTCTGTATAGCCCTGGCTGTCCTGGAACTCACTCTGTACACCAGGCTGGCCTTAAACTTATAGAAATCTGCCTGCCTGTGCCTCCAGAGTGCTGGGATCAAAGGTGTGCACCACCACCCAGCTTCAGTCTACCATTATCTTCACTTTGTAATTTCCAAGTGGACCCTCAATCCACTTAGACCAGACTTTTTTTTTCTTTCTTTTTAAATCAGGGTCTTCCTTCTGTAGCTCATATTGGCCTTGAACTCGGAGCAATCCTGCCTTTTGAGAACTGGGATTATAGCTATGCACTATATCCCCTGGCTTAGTGAGGACTTCTTGAGTCCTCATTTACTTTTTATTTTCTCCCAACAGAATTGCTTCAAGCTGGGTTTGGTAACACATGCCTTTAATCCTAGCACTTGGAGAGAGGGCAATTTTCAGCTACATATCATACTCTAGGCCAGCCTGGAGTACATTAGACTCTGTCCTAAAACAAAACAAAAACCAGTTTGGAAACGTAGCTCAGCAGTTAAGTGCACTTGCTGCTCTTCCAGAGGATCTGAGTTTGGTGTCTACTGCCAGTGTCAGGGAGCTCACAACCACCTGTAGCTCCAGCTCCAGGGGATATGATATCCTCTTCTGACCTCTGCAAGCACCAAATGTACACAGCACACACTCATGCATATGTGTGCATATGCACACATAAATAAAAAATTTAAATCCAATCAAAACAAAGACCCCTCTTGTTAAATTGGAACTCTGCCTAAAGCCAACTAACACTTTATCATATTCTGCAATGGTCCTCTTTTCTTTTGTTGTATTTACCTGAAATCACAGGTATGTGCCATTCTTACCATGACCAACCAGCTTATTTCACACAGGGTCTCAAACTGAACTTCAACGTTATCGTGAGTACTTAGTAAGATCCTATTTCAAAGTAAAAAGGGCTCGGTGGTGGAGAACTTGCCTAGCAGGTATGAGCAGCTTGTTCATCTTTAGTGTTTGGTGGGCGTGTTGGAAGAATGCTTGAATGAGTGGGGTTTCTGCGCTGGAGAACTGAGTTTAAGGGGGGAAGATATTGTGTTTACACAACATTCTGCCTGCACACCAGATCTTACTATAGATGGTTACAGATGGTTATGAGCCACCATGTGGTTGCTGGGAATTGAACTCGGGACTTTCGGAAGAACAGCGAGTGTTCTTACCCTTTGAGCCATCTTTCCAGCCCTTGTATTTCCATCTTAATGCAGGGTTTAGGCATATATTCAGACTTTTCACAGGTCCCAGATGTCTAAATGTGGGTGCCCCAAAAACAGCGCAAAAACTCCTAGACTCAGCCTGCGATTTTTGAACAGCGCTGTGTAGGCTGCGTAACACACTGCCTCTGAACGCGGCCGGAAGTTCTCCAGGCATTGTCCAGAGAACTACAGTTCCCAGAAGGCAGTGCGGAGGAAGACGGTAGTAGAAGAGGACTTCCGGACGCCGATGCTGGCCTTGTCAGCGCCACACGTAGAGGTACGCTTGGGTGTCGGGCAGAGTGGAAAGGTGGAAGAGGGTGGCTGTGACTAGGTTGAATGTCAGATGCAGATAATGGTAGAAAGGATCCCTAGCTTTGATTTCTCTCCCTGCAGCAAACATGACGAAGTTAACCCAGTGGCTTTGGGGAGTGGCGCTCCTGGGCTCTACCTGGGCTGCCCTGACCATGGGAGCTCTGGGCCTGGAGCTGCCTTCCCCCTTCCGGGAGGTCCTGTGGCCGCTGCCTGCCTACCTGCTGGTGTCCGCGGGGTGCTATGCCCTGGGCACTGTGGGCTATCGCGTGGCCACATTTCATGATTGCGAAGATGCCGCCCGAGAGCTACAGAGCCAGATCCTGGAGGCCCGATCAGATTTAGCCCGCCGGGGGCTGCGCTTCTGACACCTTCACCCATTCCAATCTGGACATCCTTCCTCATTCCCCATTAAAGTGCAGTTTTATTTTCTAACCTTGTTTAGTTTTGAATATGGAGGGTAGGTATTGGGGATCTTTATATACCAGAGGTCAAGAAGTGAGAGGCAGGAAAGCCACCTTTAGCGTTGCGTTTTGGTGTTCTGTCCCCTTCTCAAGACTTTTTTTTTTCTTGTTTTTTAATAGGATCGCAATATCCTATTACTGGCCTCAAAGCCAGCCATGTGGCTGAGGATTATCTTGATTCTCAATCTCTCAAATTCTCTAATTACAGGCTTAAACCATTATGACTAGTTTAATGTGGTGCTGGGGCTTGAACCTACTGGGCTTCAAACTTTTAAGCCCTCAACTGAGCCTGTTTTGTTTATTTGTTTAGACGGTTTTCCTAAGTAGTCCAACCTGGCCTACAACTTGCCCAGGCCACTCTCAACCTATGATCCTCCTGCTTCAACCTTTTTGTTTGTTTTGAGACAGCCTTGGCTGTCCTGGATTCACTTTGTAGACCAGGCTGGCCTCAAACTCCTAGAGATCCACCCGCCTCTGCCTCCCTGAGTGCTGGGATTTCAGGCTTCTTAACACAAGGCTGGGCAGGAAGCATGCATACCTAACTTCCATCCTTTATAACTTAAAAGTTTTTGTTTGTTTTTCTCTTTTAAAGGTCCTCATTTTTTTTATTTTTTATTATTAGTTACATTTTATTAACTCTGTATTATCCCAGCTGTATCTCCCTCCCAATCCCACCCTCCCCCATCTCCTCCCTGCCCCTTTCCAAGTCCACTGATTGGAGAGGACCTCCTCCCCTTTCATCTGACCCTGTTTTATCAGGTATCTTCAGGACTGGCTGCAAAGTCCTCCTCTGTGGCCTAGCAGGACTGCTCCTCCCTTAGGGGGGTGGGGAGGTCAACCTCATGTGTCTTTCTGACTTCTAGTTCTTTCAGATACCTGTGCTGAGCCAATGCTACAGGCCCAGACACTAGACCTATCACCTTTCAAGTCAGGCAGGTTGAGAATGCTGAAGAAAGCACAGCCTTGCAGGCAGGGGTAGGGAAACAGTTTATTTTAAGGCACATTCTACAGATACCACCTACCCCAGCCTCCAAAATGTGAAAAGATAATCTCTTTAGAAAACTGTGATTCCATCCCATAGGTCCCTCCTGACCTAAGTAAAAACCTTTGATCCCTCTTATTTCCAAAGTCAACTTCTCACAACCTATTGCATCCATGAAATTGGTCACGAAGACCAGCAGAAACAGGAGCTCTGTTTGGTATCAAGTTGGCACTAAGGTGCCTGTGGTCATGTTTGTAGAAGGCGGTATTTCCTGTCATGCTCTGGGGAGTACTTGCAGAAAAGCCCAAGGCGGATGAAGCTGGTAAGGATTCCTGGAAGGTTGGGCACCTGCAATCAAAAAGCTGCTGTAAAGACAGGAACTAGTTTCTACTTTGTAGACGAGTTGTCCCATCCAGAATCTGCTTACCATGATGTATGGGTCTCTGAGTCGAAACCCATAGAGGGACCAGGAGGCAGAGGAAAGGAGGGTGGTGATGGTGAGTGAGAAGGAGAGACGCTGGGTTGATTTAGTCTGAATGATCTTGGCCTGTGGCAAAAATACTGGTGGTTCAGGTTCATAGTACATTCCTGAACTCTTGTTAGAGAATTCCCTCAAGAAAAAAACGGAAACCCCTCTGATCTGCCACCCAGCCCTTTCCGGCATCCCACTTGTCCATGTAACTCTTTCCAGGAGCTGACTCCAGCCCCACCAGAGTACTAGCCATCCCTAGCTCAGGAAGTCTAACCCTTATCTGTTAGCCAACCCTACTCACCAGGTCGGCCAGTGGGGAGACGTACATGCTGATGGTAAAGACACTGCAGAAGATGCCTAGCTGCTGAAGCCGGGCCTCAAGGTCTGGCACTAGAAGCCAAAAGTATCCATAACCCAGGAGAAGGACACTCAGCAGGGTTCCAGTCTGGAGGAGTGCAGCGTGCTGCAGGGAAGAAGTGTCTTACTTGCATATGTACCAGAACACTGATTTCTCTGCTGGAATTGCTTCATCCTGACTCTGTCCATGCTCTAGTGGGGGAAATCAACGTTTTATCCCAGCCTTCATGTAATTTTCTGTCAGTTACTTGAAGGAAGTCTCATCCACGCAACATTGGAGGTCTCCAAGGAAAGGGAAAATATCTTTTTTTTTTTTCTCCGTCCCCTTTCATGTGAGCTTACATATATACACTGTAAGAGGCCAATAAATGTGTGATTGAGAGGGAAAGCAGAGCTAAGAGCCATTCTTATCCACTGGCCCTGATCCTGATCCTACAGGAACTACCAGAGACAGCATAGCATAGTCGTCTCCCAGCCTGTTGCAGAGCACAGGGTAGCACCCCACTGGGCTACATAAGCCACCAGCCTGTGAGCACGGGGAGGGTGGGTGGCTGTGTGTTCATTCTGTAGGCTTGGCTTCATGGAAAGGAGAACCAGAAGGGCCTTCTGGGAAAAGGTAGTAAAGCCATTCTACTAGTTTTCCAGGAAGTAAAATAGCATATGCTCTGCTAAGATGGCAGGGCGTGCAGCAGAGGTGGGTGCAAGGGAGGGCCTCTACCTTCTGAGGACTGTAGTGCAGATATGCCAGGATATAAAGAGTCTGAAGCACAGCACCCACGGCATTGACAATGATGAGGGTCACATCTCCCTTCAACACTCCATAACTCAGCCAGCCCAGGTTGCTGCGAGGGGAGGAGGATTATGGTCCAAGGGGCTGAGTGTTGCAGTGGGACCCACTTATACCGCTTATACCTCCCTCAGCCTTTCCCACCACAGCCCAACAACATTCTCACTTGACATCCGTGGTGAGAAAAGGCAGGAACTGGATGCTGTCCACACTCCGTGTCCTCTGCATGTGCCTGAGGTCCGAGCTGGAAGGGACCCAAAGGGAATTGTTAGGAATGGGTAGAAGATTCCTCAGTGCTTGTCGCCCACCCTGAAGGACAGGCAGATCTCCTCCCTCAGACTTAGCGGCCAGCTTCGCCTAACACCCTAGATCGCCCAACCCGATTCCACTTTCATTCTGGGTTCCAGATGCAGCCAGGAATTGTAGCCACGTCTCTTGACCACTTTCCTTTCTTGACTTCCTGGTCCTGCCCCAGCCCAGTTTATCCGCGCTCTCACAGGCCAGTGGAGAACATGCCCAGGGTGAAGAGCACGCAGGCACTGGAAAGGAAAGAGTCTGCTGCGCCGCCAGCCTCCATCCTTCCAGCATCAGTTTTGCGACCAGTGTTGCGCGCCCCGGGCTCCGGCTTCAGCTGAGGACAGCGAAGCCCCGCCCCTCCCGGCGGAAGAGCGCCGGAACCCGCCCTCGACGGAACTGCACCGGAACTGGGGTCCATGCCATATCAGCGCTGCGTACTGGCCGGGTGCTTTGCAGTAATGTGACGGCCTGGGTCCTGATCTTGCTCTTCAGATTGCGTTTAGTGGTTTTAGTAGGGACCGTGAATTTTCCTCCCACCCGGTCCCTGCTCATAGCTCCGAGCGCCCCTGGATCATCTAGACCACTAGCCTCAACTTCTGTGTTCTTATATGTCCTTGTGTGTTAGAACCCAAGCCCCAAATTTAGTCTTAACCACTCTTCAACGAGCCTCCTATTCAGTGTTCCATTATCAGAACCTTGGTCACCCCAGCTTTGGGAGGTTTTCCCTGGGAGTTATTGTCAGACACCTAAAGAGCAGGGATTGCCATCTTCCTCCAGATGCCCTCCTCTACACTACCGACTTTATCCATGGGCAGCCCTGGCCCCCTATTCTAACATACTCGCTGCTGGGAACTTTCCTCTCCCAGCCTCCCACGCAACTCTGCTGGTGGGGCTGCGCATATGCTGGCATCCAGCTCCCTGACTCACCCAGACAGCATGAGTACCTGCCTGGTATGCCAAAGCCTAGCGCTTGAAGCTGGTGAGAGTGGGGTAGACGTTGGACAGAAAGAACTTAAGAGTGGGTGCAGAGAGGAATCCAGCCCACTATTATAGGGAATTCTCCTGCAGAACCCTCATAGAAGGAAACATCCTCCCTTTGGATTTTGTTTTGTTTTTTTTTTAAAGACAGATAAAGAAGTAAAAACCGTATCTTTCTTCCTCCTGATCCCAGCCATTCAATTATTTTGTCTTCTTTTGTGAGACAAATTCTCACTGTAGCCCAGGAATCCATCAACATTTTGGCAATCTTCTTGCTTCAACCTTCTAAGTGCTGGATTACAGGCATGAGCCACCATGCCTGGTTATTTATGTTTTGTGCTACTGAGGACTGAACCCAGGGATTACACAAATTAGGTTAGCACTCTACTTTTTTTGTTTGTTTGTTTTTTCTGAGACAGGGTTTCTCTGTGTAACCTTGGCTGTCCTGGACTCACTCTGTAGACCAGGCTGGCCTTGAACTCAGAGATCTGCCTGCCTCTGTTTTCTCAAGTGTTGGGATTGAAGGCGTGTCCCACCTCACTGGGCTAGCACTCTACTTCTTGAGGTACATGTTCAGCCCTTTTGAAACATGGTCTCAGTTGCCCGTGCCATCTCAAACTTGCAGTCTTCCCACCTCAGCCGCAAGATTAGCCGAGATTACAGGTGTGCCTCACACCTGCCCAGCTGCTTCTGCTTCAGCACAGTAGAGACTCTGTGGTCATAAGTCAACATGGAGAAGCAGAAAAGCATGTCCAAAAAAATAAAAAAACAAAAACATTACTTTATTCTGAATTCAAGAACATTATATAAAAAAGCCCTCCAGTTTTAGAAATGAGCAGACACAGCACATTTTCTACACAGACACTGTACATGTGGGTCCTGCCCTTTAAGCTACACCCTACACAGACTGTACACAGGGCCCTGCCCTTAGCTATACTCTAAAGCCAGGCTGATATAGTCCTCCCGTTGGCACAGCAACAAGGAATGCTGCCCCTGGGATGGGGAAGACGCAGTCAGTGCCTGGCTACACACCTCTCTGGCAGCCTGCAGGCTTGTCGAGCTGCTGGGTCACGCTGCCTCTCCTGTACCTGGCTCCCATGCAGGAAGCTGTCTCAAGCTTTTCTTTCAGTCTGGACATCATGGCTTTCTTGGGGAAGAACGTCTTTACCAAGTTCAGAGTCCAGCTGCATGAGCACAGGCTCTTCCTTCTCATCTCCCATTGGGCCCTCTTAATGGGCCGGGTCTGCACAGCTGTTTCTTTGGCTTAAAGGTAGAAACGGAAGGGAAAAGGCCTTCCCCACTTCCTTCTCCATCCCTCTGAAGTGGAGGCAGGGATGGCACAGTCAGGCGATGAAACTCCTTTGGGTTGAAACCCTTAATACTGAACCTTCGGAGGCTTCAAAGTGGCAGCTTGTACGTGTGGTGGGAGAGGTTCCCAGGGCCGGAGCTTTGGGGTGCTTCTCCCTGCCCCTTGCCCAACTCCAATCCTTAAGCCAGGTGAAGCATATGCCTTCACTGAGTTTGCAGCAGCAGCAGTGGCAGGAGCAGCACAGCCCAGACTAGGGGGAAGAGGCGGGGGGCGGCACTGTGACCAATGCTATGCAGAACCTGCACCTCCGGGTCATCTGCATGGTGAGAGGGCAAAGATGGACAAGGTGAGTGGCTCAATGTTTGCACTGCTTCCAGCCCCTGTGTGGTAGAATAGCCACCTCTAGTGCTCAGCCTCCTTGAGCAAACCCCTTCCTGTGACCCATTGGCTTGAGATACCTACCTGCTAGAAGTCTCTTCTCTTGGGGGTTGACATGCGCCTGAGGACTATGAGCTGGAAGATAAGAATGGTAGTAGATCAGGTATTGCACCAGAAGGCAGAGAGGCAGCTTCCTCCCACCCCAGACCACTACATGAAGCTCAGCATGGATGGAAGGAAGAGGTCCATAGGACCTGACACTCACTGATTTTGCCATTGACAGTCACCTTCAACTTCAAGCACTGGGTTTCCTGGTGGTAGATAGGTTTGGCTGTAAAATAAATCCATAGGATGTTAAGGAAAAAGCCTTTGTTAGAAGATATGCACTCAGATTCGTTTGACTCTGCTTTCTCAGTGCCCTGCTTACGTTAACATTTCTATTTACTTAAGACAGGATCTCACTATGTAGGCTTGGCTGCCCCAGAACTTGCTATGTAGACAAGGCTGGCTCCAAACTCATAAAAAGCTACCTTACCTCTGCCCCCTGAGGGCTGGCTAAGGGTGCTCAGCACCACACCCGCCATTATTATTTAATTTTAAAATTGTCTTTCTTTCTCTTTCAAGTATGTCATGGCATATGTGTGAAAGCAAGATCACAAATTTTAGGAGTCAGTTCTTGCCTTCTATCTATTTCTGCACTGCATGCTCAATACGGTTGGCCTTCCTTCCTTCCTTCCTTCCTTCCTTCCTTCCTTCCTTCCTTCCTTCCTTCCTTCCTTGACAGGGCTTGCTGTCCTGGGATTGATCAGGTTGGTCTCAAACTCACAGAGATTCAAATTCCTCTGCCTCCCAAGAGCTAGAATTAAAGGCATGCACCACCACACCCCACCAAGGCTAATTTTCTTGTTTCTGCCTTCTATCTCCTTACAGGGATGCTGGGATTACAGATGTATGCTACAGCATCTGGCTTTTTATTGAGTTCTGGAGCTTGCAGCTGGCTTATGTGGATTCCAGACAAAATTTAGGTTCTCAGGCTAGTGCAAGCACTACTTTAAAAAAAAAACTTAATTAAATTTTGGGGAGACAAGATCTCTTGAAGCCCAAACTTGCCTTGAACTTGTTATATACAGCTAAAGAACTGCTGAGCCTTCTGGCTCTCCCTTCTGAGCACTGGAATTATAGGCAAGCATCACCCCAAACATTTATTCAGTGTGAGTAACATATTTGGAGGTCAGAGGACAATTTGGAAAAGTCCTTCTTCAATCACATAGGAGCTGGGGATCGAATTTATGTTGTCAGGTTGGCAGCAAGTGCTTTTTTATTTGCTGAGCTATCTCATTGGCTCTCTTTATTTGTTTTTTGTTGTTTTGTTTTTTGAGACAAGGTCTTAATATGGACTGGCCTTAAATCATTAAATTCATCAACGGTTTCTGACACCCTGAGGAGAAAGTCTGAACCCCTATTAGTATTTGGGCCCAAGAATATGTCTTATCCACTTCCCAAGCCCATCACTCATTCCAAGAGTGCCTGAAGTGGCCACTGTCTCTATGCTGTGCTCTTGTCCTTGTCATTCCACACTCAGGCTTTTCTGTCTTTGACCTTGGGCAGGTACATAGGGCATTTTCCCAAGTGCCTTGTGTTCATTTCTATCATATCACACTCTTCTCTTGGCCTGCTGATTTATATGGGTTCCTTCCCCAATTCCTTGAGGACAGGGGCTAGGAGTGCTTTTTAATCTTTGTGCTTAAGACACACCTGAAGTTTGCTCCACCTCTGTGTTAACAGGATGAGAGGAAACTGAGTTTGGACTTGGAATGGGAGGCCCTGTGCTACTTGACTCTCCACTAAGCATGAACTCAGACACACACTGATGGCCACCAGTGCTCTGTGGCCTATCCCTTGTGCACTCACAGATGTAGTAGTAGCTGTGTCCTTCCTTGAACTCCTTGCCCAAGGTGAAAGGCGTGAAGCGCTGGAATTTCTCAGATAGCTTCTCTGGGCCATGTTTGGCACTGGGTTGGTTGCATTTCCAACGGACCTGGTCCTTGGACTGGGGCTGGCATTCCACATACTCTTGATGCTCCACCATATACAGTGTATAGCGCTCCATGGCAGCCTCGGCCACAGAGTCCTCCTCGTAATGTGGGCAGATGATGTCTAGATAGTCATTGAGCTGCACGTGCACGGTGTAGCCCTCCTCCCGGAACCTGGGTACACACAAGGCAGGAAGATGCTCCTCAGAACGCAGTCCAGAGCCCTGAGCTGCCACTTCACATCATGCCTCACGTTCTACACTGGAGCCCCAAAGATTTTCTCAAAATCTCAACTCCCGTATTTACTGACCTTGATTTCTTTCATCTTTCCTCACCACCTTCAGTCATTCCCTCACTACCATCATCTCATACCAGTTCTCCAAACAGCATCCATTAAGTATCTCTTAGGTACTGTGTAGAACACCAGGTATTTGCCTAAGGATTGGCTTCTAGACATTTCTGTAGCTCACTCCCCATTCTGTTCTCCTGAGCAGTGTCTCCCAGGTGCTTCTTTAAATGCCAGGAGACCTCAGTCTGAGCGGGTGTCTACTCAGGAGCCCAGGCCCCTTTCTCTTTACCATGCCACTGAGCCCTCATCACATCTCTCAGCTCATCCTATCCTGCCCCTCACACCAAGTCTCTTTGAGGTTTCCACTATATAACAACACCCCAATTCCTAGTCCAAACCCAAACTCAGAGGTAATCAAATTGTATCAGTTTACTCAAATCTCCCTTTCTTGTTACCCAAATTTATGCTCTGATCTCTTTTTTTCACCCTAAAACAACCTTGCCATTTTATCTCCAAGGGTGATAGCTCCACTTTCCCTGAGGAAAGATTCAGTTCTCAGACCTGCGACTGCCTGCCTTCCCCTTCTCCCCAGGTAGAGACAGCTCCCTTCCCCGAGTCGGGTCCCCCCAAGGCCTGCAGGCTCCAGCCTGACTGCCCACTAGCCCTTCGCTCCAGACACCTGGCTCCAGCCTGGGTAGGGTCTTAGCAGTGGGGAAATGATCCCTCCCCTCCTGATGAAAGCTAGTCAGCTTCTCTGAATTCCCCCAAGCACTGCCAGTGACAGGCTCAGCAGAGCTGGCTGCCAACTTGCTTCAAATCCAAGTCTTTGGCATGAGTGGGTGGTGCCCATGGTGATGGTGGGGTTCCATGGTGGCCACCCACTACCCAGTCATCAAGACCCTTTAAAGCCCTGGCCTTGCAACAGCTTTCAGCCTCTAGAACCAGGCATACCAGCCCCTCCCCCACCCTGGGGAAAAGAGAGAGAAGCAGAGGGAGGCTTTTAAAATTCCTCTCTGGAGAGATAAACATAGAAGCCATTTCAGAACAGGTATTTCAGCTCTGGGCCTGGCGTCTTTCCCTTATTCCCGTGATGGGCACTGACTCATACCTCATCCACCTCTGCTACCTGCCCAGTCACTCTTGAGGGCCTGTGAAAATTTACCTTGTCAAATGTGGAGCAGCCCCCAGGACCTCAGGACAGACCAGGACTGGTTTGCCCCAGTGCTGGCCTCTGGCAAAGGGAGCAGAGAAGTCTGAATAGCCAGGGTGTCTATCTCTTCAGGACCACTGGGGCCCAGAGCCCAGTTCATAGTGGTTCAAGGCTAATGCTCACCGCCCTGAGTCACCTATGCCAACTCTACGCCCGCCCTGCTCATTGCCACCTCATCTCTTCCCCCAAGCCAGACTGCCCATGACCTCCACTCTAGACTGGCTTTCCTGTAGTTGTAAATAAGACAGGGTATGTGTGTGTCCAGAGAGACAGGGCTGAAACTATTCTTAGTAGGGTACTATCTCCTGCCTGCCTGTTACCCTGAGTCTCCATCTGGAAAACGGGTCTACATAAGTGGCAGAGAAGACAGGGAGGGGGGCAAGGAAGAGGCTCCTTCCTGAAAGAGAGGAAACCTGGGAGCTTGGGAACGGAAAAGGCCAGAGTTCCCCCCTCCCTACTCATGGCTTCCTGTCCCTTCCTCCTCCTTCAGCCAACACCTGGCATGGGCATAAACTGGGACTTTGCTCTTTCTCACTTACCAGGACAGGACTAGGTCAGGGAGGTAAGGGGCAGCACAGGGCTGGCTGGGCTGCAGTAGCACTCCAGGGCCAGGAAGGCCTTGCCTAGGGTTGGCAGCTGGCTTTATCTTGCCCTCCAACAAGCCCTAGACAACAGACCCTCAATAGGCAATGCCACAATGCCAGGGGAATCTGGCACAGCGTCTATCTCAGGGGAAGGGGAGCAAGCTTGCTGGATCTGGGTGTGGTTTGCTGGTATTTTGTGCTGCCACCCCTCAGCTGCTAGGCGCCTTTCTCCTTGTTCCACCATATCTCCCTCTTAGGCTCTGCCCCACCACTGTTCTCATAACTCAAGGAAACTCTAGGGCAAGAACAAAGGGCCAGACAGTGTCTTCCCCCAATACCGTTTGCTTCGTAGCCCTAAAACCTGCCCGGGAGAAATTACCTCCTTCCTGTTACAGCCCTTTGTAACCCTGTGAACCCCCCTCTGCTCCTCCCCAAGCTTTCCAGGGATACACCTCTCATCAGTTCCTTAGAGTGACCACCTCAGCCACTGCCTGTCTACCCATGCACAGCATGTGCCTAATTTATGCCACCCCACCCCCACCCCCCGCCAAAAAAAAATCCTTGGGGATATTCTCCAGAGTCATCTTAAATACAAAATTATTCATTTCATAATAATACCCAAATACCATAATAATTTCATAAGGGTCCCTGCAGGGCTGCCCTGTGCTTATTCTTGATGCCAATAGGTGCCTGGCAGTATGCAAATGCCCAGTGGCACACAGAAAGGACACAGAAGTTTTCTGAGGGGACTTAAAGCGCCACTCTTAAGGCAGGAAAGCATGAAATCCGTACTTTAGAGTGATGGCATGCCAGAGGGCAGGAAGAGAAGGGCTGAAAGAGCGCCTGAGCAAGTAGGCATGAATGGGTTTCTGCCCGGGTCGGCTGTTGCCAGTTACCAAGGGATGGTAAAGACAGAGATGGAGAGCTATAGAATCCAACCCCTGGCCACCTCTCCTAGGCTCAGGCCAGAGGGTGGACGGGAGTTAGTCTAGGGAAGGGCATTGCTAACCCGGCACCCAGGCTGCCAGAGGGAGTCTCGGGGCTTACTTGGGATTTGAACTGTTCCAGAAGACGATGTGGCGGTCAGCAGCGGCCAGACTGCAGCACAGACCCAAGAGAGGGGCCCAAAGGAACTCCATAGCGTGGGGCCGGGCCGGGCCGGGCCGAGAGCTCCGTAGTGTAGGGTTCCCACTGGCCTCCCCACGGTACAGTAGGCACCGTGATCACAAGTCTGGCCTCTTTGCTGCTCGACTCCGCCTTTTGGGCTGGCGCCGCCCGACACCCGCCCCGCCCCCGCCCCGCCCGGCGCGCACTGCCCCAGGGCCTGGTGGCTTGGGAGGTGGAGGAAGGGAGGGCTCCGGGAGGGAGGGCTCCGGGGGTCTGCACTTAGCCGCGTGTTCTCTTACGGGGGGGTGGCTTGTGGTGGTCTATGTGAGGCACTGTAGGCTTTGTGGGACTGGGAGCAATCACAAGCTGGAAAAAGGGAAGAACTCACATATTTGAGTCTGGGAACCGCGGCTTCAGGACCCGATTTTGCATCGCCGAGCGCCAGTCTTGCCAGAGTGCGAGATGGGGGGTTATACCCACACCTTTCCCGAGATTCGCATCCAGGTCCGCGCACTCACCTTCTCACACTATGCCGCGATCACTCCCAATCCCCCCTCATGCCCAGATTTTGCGCTTGGCTGTTCCTCCCCAACCAGACGCGGCTGTTTGTTTTTGTTGGGTTTGTCAATGTTGTCTTTGTTCAAGAGATTGTGTCATCGCTTAAATGCCGGGACTAAAGTGCGACGCTGTGTGTGATCAAGTGTGTAACGTGTGCGGCCATGGCGAAGAGCTCCTCAGCCCATCCGCACTTGTGCGGGAGGAACTCTTGGGCTCACGAAGGGGGATCTGTTCCTAATTTTTTTCAGTTGCGCTAAAGTACACTAATGACCTGCTTATCTGTTCCCGTGTGTCTCTAGCGAATGCGCTTTTGCAGATGGAGTGTGGGAACTGGTCACGAAGGGTGACAAACTAACCAACACATGTACGGACTATGGTGTGTAAATGCGTGTGATGGCGGTGGGTGTAAAGACACTTGTGTGTGGAAGCGTGTGAAACGTCTAACACACGTATGCTAATGTTTGTGAAGTGTGAGTTTGGGCGTGCAGCGGGGGTGGGCTGGAGAGGGGGTAGTTTGGACAGCTGTGTTTGGCTCAGGCTGACTTGGGTCTTCTGGTTGGTAGGCCCTCAGTACCAGGCTCTGATCCCCTCCCCCACTCCATGTAAACAACCCCGCAGGAATTCACCTCTCGGAACAGCGAAGTCTGGAGAGGGGTTGTCGTTGTCTGTGTTGGAGCTGGTGGGCAGGTGTTTGATTAGGCTTGAGTGCGTCCCTGGAGCGGGAAAGTCGAAAGCCGAGTGTTGGGTAGTTTGTGTGTGTGGCAGTGTGCCTGTGTGTGCGGCAGGGTTTGATGGGGCGGGGGTTTCCTTCCCTGGCCTCCCTTCTTTGCGGCTGCGCATCGGACACGGGCTCTTCGCAGGCCGTATCCAGCCGTTTCATCCGTTTTTGTTTTTGTTTTTGTTTTACGGGCCGGCTTGCTCCCCACCCTGTAATTACCCCGGGCCAGGACGCCGCGGCCAGCCGGGTGCTGACCCTGCTGGGGAGGAGCCTGGAACGGAGGCGGGCTCTGGTTTTCCTCCACCCACTCCAGGAGGTGGGCCCTACTCGTCGCTCTCAGGTTGAATGTTTACTGAGCGCTAAGTGCCTAACCGCGTGCCTGGGTCAGGGTCCGGCCTTGCACAAGCACACGCCACCCGAGCGCACATCTGCGACGTGCCGGAGGCCCATGCAGATCCAAGGTGCGGCTAACCCCTCCCTGTGGATCCGAAGGTTATCCGCAGCTCTAGGGAAGCGCCTCACGCGCTTTTTGCTCACCTGGAGGAGGAACACGAGGTGACGCTCTCCTACACACCCCTCGTGGTGCAAGTACCCCTTTTCAGTTCCTTTGCTTCATAGGGTTTTATTTTGTTCTCTGCCGTGTTGCCGGCGCAAGCACAAACAGTAGCAGGTCACTATTTGCTGAGTGAGGTCACTCACTATAAAGGTATAAACATGCAGCTGCTGGGAAACTCGCAGAGGAGGTAGGCACTGGTACAGTACATCTTTGGAGAAAATAGTTCGATTGCCCCTGGGGAGATTGTGGATTGGATTAGCTGTGTTGGCTGCCAGTCTCCCTGGGCTCAGCCTGGCGAGGACAGGTCTGCCTTCTGCCTGGAGCGAGCTAGGTGGAGAGGGTGGCGGAAAGCTAGGCACCGACAAGGCGCAGAGATCCCCCGCTTGGGACCGACTCCAGCATTTTCACTTCAGGTCTTGATCTTACCAATATATTTGCGCTTTTACGGGTAGCTCATCTGCTTTGGCTTCCCCTTGGCTGGATATTGGCTCGATGAGGCTAATATAAAGCCTCTGCTTTCCTGGAGTCCTGCAGTCGGTAGGGTACTCATGTCTGGGCACACGTTTTCCTGGAGATGTGTAGTAGAGGAAGTATGCCTGGCAAAACAACAGTCTTGCTAAGTGCTGAAATCAGACCCACAACACATTAGCACTACTCCAGAGCTCCGAGACCGCTGCGCCGCCTGGTGGGCGGAGTGGAGAGTTTCAGGCTCTGTGAAATGCGGACGCTGACAATAGAAGGGACTTCAGAACACAGAATAAATCCAGGCCTCCTGGGCATACCAGTTCTAGCTCCCCCGGCGTGTCTGGCTTTGTTTGGGGCATCTGTTACCCTAAAGTTATGTACCTGCGTTGTCTCTCAGCGCTCCCACCGCCAGGCAAACATCTGTGCAAGTGGCAAATATGTATGAGGGGTCTGTTTGTCTGGGGAAAACCCCTCTGTGACTACCTTCTGGGGATTTTTAAGAGGTAGGGTTAACTCTGGGTGTGCTGGGTCGGAGTGGGAGGATCCTGTTCCCACAGAGGACACTGCCTACCTGCAGGCAACTTTTCCAGACTGGAGCAGCCACAGCCACTCAGCAGCTTGACTTGATGTTTCAGGGAGGCCTGAGCTACAGGCCTCCAGCATCTCTGGGCACTTGGATGAGGCAGTGACTCGGTGGGCCCTGAACTTGGAGCCATTTCTGCCTCACTCTTTGAAGATAATTTTAAAAAGTAAAGTACCATCTCTTGCTTTGTTGGTAGTGTGTGCAGTTTTTTCAGTTTGGAAACTAGAAGGGAGAAAGAGGAAGAGCTTCTGATATGAATGTTTTCTTGCCTTTTTTTTTTTTTTTTTGAGATAGGGCATCACTATGCTGGCTATTCTGGAACTCATTATATAAACCAGGCTAACTTCAAACTCACAGAGATCTGCCTTCCATTGTCTCCTGTGTGCTGGGTTTATAAGTGTGTGTTATGGGGCTGGAGACAATGGCATAGCAGTAAAGAGCACTGGCCAGAGGACCAAGATTCCATTCCAAGAACCTACACACCTGGTGGCTCTCAACTGTCTGTCAGTCCCAGAAGATCAAGGTTCTCTTCTGGGCCCTGAAGGCAGGAACATATGGTGCAAAGTCCCACAGGCAAGCAAAACATCTGCAGAATTCAAATAAATCATATGGTCTGTAGAGATGGCTTAGCCATTAAAAGGCTAGGTTCTTGGGTCAGTGGTGGTGCATGCCATTAATCTCAGCAATTGGGAGGCAGAGGCAGGCAGATCTCTGTGAACTGGAGGCCAGCCTGGTCTACAGAGCAAGTTCCAGGACAGCCAGGGCTACACAGAGAAACCCTGTTTCAGAAAACAAAACAAAAAGGTTGGGCTCACAGCCAAAACAAGCTGGTTGGTGGTGGCATCTCTAATCCCTTCACTCAACTTGTTTAGGAAAACAAAACAAAATAAAAACAACAACAACAACAACAAACACCAATCATGTGTCACTATTCTTTTGCTATGATTATGACTAATTTCTATTGGGACTATGGTGGTTAATATCTGATTGTCAGCAGGAGAGAATTTCTGGGTATGCCCATGAAATGAGGGGGTTTCTAGATTGGGTTAAGGGAGGTGGCAAGAGGGAGAATGTGACACTGAGCCCTGGGTTGAATGAAGAGGAAAAAGCAAACTAAAGGTGCTTTCTGAGTATAGCTGCCCTGTGACTAGCTGCCTCCTGTTCCTGCCATCAATTCTTCCGGGCTATGGTACACTGTATTTTTTTTTTTTTTCAAGACTCATTCTATGTAGATGAGTGTTCTATCTGCTGTACACCTGTTTGTCAGAAGAGGGCCCAGATCTCACTACAAATGGCTGTGAGCCACCATGTGGCTGCTGGGAATTGAACTCAGAACCTCTGGAAGAGCAGCCAGTGCTCTTAATCACTGAGCCACCTCTCCAGCCCCAGTACACTGTATTCTTAACACCACAAACCAAAGTAAAATCTTTATTAAGTTGCTTTTGACAGGCATTTTTGTCGTGGCTATGAGAAAAGTAATTAATACAGGACTCTCCTTGATTAGCTCTGCAACAGAAGCTATTTCCATCCCCCACACACCACACGTTAACTCTGGGGATGAGATGCCTAACACACTTAAGCATGACTTCTACCTACCATGGGGCCACATCCCAGACCTGGAATTGATTTAGTTTTTCAAACCTAAGACCCATGCATTGGAGACAAATCCTCTAATGCCAAGCTACATTTCCTGGTGTCTATGAAGGATTTTTAAAAATTTTATTTAAAAAACAACATCTCATTATGTTGTCTAGGCTGGCTTTAAGCACATACTCTTACTTGCTATAGCCCTCTAATTTTTGAGATTACAGATATGTGCCACTGTACTCAGCTGAAAAAAAAAAAAAGCTTTTGATATTGCAAGCCAAATTAAAATCTTTTGGTCACTAGTCCAGTTACCTGACCTGAAAAGGTCTTAGGCGTTCACACCCACATGAAGAAGGCCACACACAGAGGAGTGGATGTGCAATGAACACTCGGGTGTAGCGGACACCCCAGAATATCCGACTATATCTGCTAGAGTTGTAGGAGAGGGGGCAGAAGGTGATGAGGGGACCATGTTGCCATGGACAATGATACCATGCTTAAGAGTGTAAATGCTGCTTCAGCACATGGGTGGCTAGGTGAGAGCCACACTCAGATTTGTCCTTTAAAAACAGTTACTATGAGGAGTAGACGCTGGTTGGGGGCTCAAAGGCAAGGATTAGTGAGGCCCGAGTGACAAGGGTTGGTGTATGTGATCTG